AATATATTTACAAATCTTATTCGACCAAAAAAAGCCTATTTAAAATATTACATAATTTTTTTTATCTACATTAAGAAACTTAAACTTTAGATATAATAATATGTCATAATTATAATAATTAGTAAATTATGTAATTATCAATAAATAGAACAGTTTTATTAGATTTTTAAAAAACTAAAGTACTAACTTTTTAGAAATTCTAAATCAGCCTAACTTGTAAAATAGACCAGAGCAATGTAGATTAGAACTAGATTTGACAGTAAATGTTCCATGTGTTACCTTACCTATTCTCACACCTACTATCCATAATTATTTGCATTAATGACATGACACCTATGAATACCTAAATCCAGAACATTCTTACAGGGGGCACAATGGCAGGCAACTCCCTTTGTTGCTGTAAGTTAGGTTTATATCTTCTTCATATAACTATGAATCTCGTAGGGTTGTTGGGGTAATCAACTTCATAAATCCTTAAATAAATTGACTCAACTTTCCAATTATGGTGAGGGTGGTCCCTCCACTCTTTCTTTTTGTCTCTTAATAATTAATTAGTTTCTTTAACTAATGCTGTGTCCATTATTTGGAACTAAGTACAGTAAATAATGATGTAAATTAATTTGAACTTGTGAACAGTATGAGTGCCAAATTTAAGAACTCTAATGATGATAAACTTGCATAATAGTTTTTCACACATAAAATTACAATATATATGTGTGTGTGTGACGCATACAGTTATTTTATTATTATGTGTAATATATATATATTCACACAATAAAGAATGCAGCTTTGTATGCACTTAAATGAGAAAATAAATGGAGTAGCTAGACAAAGTGTGATGTGATTTATATTTTTTTATTTTATAATCTAAATTAAAAAAGAAACTATGTAAAAGAATGATCTAAACCTCTAGATGTTTAAAATGTTGGAATGATAATTTGAATAATAGTTGAGACTTTCAAACTAAGTCTCCCTACGTGAATACGCGATATTGATGAACTATCCAATTTAAAAGAAGCCACAAGATATATATTTTAATCACATTATATCATTTTAATATCATTTAACAATTTCCTAAACTATAAAGGTATATTATTAAACATCAATAGAAAAGAATAATTTGTAAATCCTGTGATCAAGTTAAATTATTTCATCGGTGCGTATTCACTAACGAGTCGTGTTCTCGCTAGATCTTGATTCTTCAAATCCTCTTTTAATCTACATATATGAAAATTAAATGGGTAACCTTCTTACTTCCATTAATTAGGAGACATGTTCCTTAAGCATTTGTACGCTCCTAGCATATTATCTTTTACTAAGAAAATGTGTGATATTGCGATGACTTATGCATGTCAACTTTGATTTGATACCTATTACCTATGTGCTTGTATTTAATGTCAACTTTCAACTGTGAACTATCTTTCTCCATAGTCACTGTTACTTAGTATATATGTTTTGTTTAGGTCCATAATTATAATGAATTTAGCATTCTTATACATCTATAATATCATTTTCTTTATCATACAAATGAATTCAAAAGAAAGCAAAAAGACGGGAAGGAATTGTTTCCGGCTCTAAAACATTTCCTTTTAAAGGATTATTATTAAGCTAAAGTTTGTATTCATTTTTATGATATTGTTTATAACTGATTTGTAACCTAAGAAACATTTCCTTTTAAAAGAAGTCTTAGATTACATATTGCTCCAGCAATCCTCAACCCTCTCATTTGTGAATCTCATCATTGTATGGGTTTAAAGTGCAATTATCTCACAAGTTTTGTATTACTTTTACTAACATTTCTCATCTATCTCTATTTACTTAAATATCTCTAACTTAATGAAATCTCATTTATTCTTTTCCCTGATGAAATTTAAAACTCCCATTTTAACTATCATTTTTTATTTAACCCATTAGACCACAACCCAAAAATGTTAATCAAGGTCCAAAATATCTCTGACAAGTTTTAGTGTCGTTTAATATCTATGCAGGCTTGTAGGCAAAACTCTTAATGGAGTCTAGGTTATAGATTATAAAGCAAAGAGATGACAGAGTGTGATGAGTGGTGGGAAATGTTTTATGCATATATAATAATTGAAGCTTTGCTTTTTAGCACATACTTTTTTAAATGTGAGTATAAATATATAATAAGACATAGTGAGAGTATGAGGAATAATTTTTAAATTAAAATTAATGGACGATATTATAATATTGTCATTTTAAAACCTATTATCTTCTTTCTCTTTCATTGAACACAAAAGTAACAAAACCTATTATTTTCTATATATGAACAATAAGTAACAAAACTTATTACCTTTGAAAAATGTTCACAACCATCAATCAACACAATTATACATAGAGATGAGGTATAATTAACTAAAAATGAGAAAGGGTAATAGAGATTGAAGAGGGTGACTCTTTAGGAAAAAATAGGTGAATGAAGAAATGGTGGTAATATGGGGATATATCCGGTTAGAATGATGGTGAAATTTATCTGGACTTAGAGAGATAGACACATGAACACTAGTATTAGTAATATAATCTTAGCCATTCATTTTAATTTAAGGGTTAAAAAATATTCCTCTCACTCTCACATAAGTTTGGTCATTCTCACCACATACATCCCCTATATATATAAATATAAATAAAGTTATTCACATCGGAAATGAAAATATTTAATACAGATCAATGAATGTTATTTGAATGACCAAGATGATATATAAGAGATGGCCCAAGCAACTCTCATATAAAAACTGTGAGAACAATATATTTGTGTCTTACAACCAATCATGAAAATTATGATCTTCAATAATTCATCAGTGAATTAATATGACTACAATTTGATCAGATTCCTTCTTTTTTATATTTTGATCTGATTCCATCTTTTTTTATAAGATTTTTTTGTGACAACTTGTGAGATAAACAAATTTAAACTTGAAAGTGGATCTAGGAGCATAGGTTGGAAAGTAACTTTGACTAACAGAAAATAAATTATTTAAAGCTCTCTCTCATGGACCTAATAATATCTTACATTCCAAATCTTTTCCCTCAATCTCTAATCTCTCACCAGTTGTCACTCTTTTATAGTGGGCATCTTCATTTGTTTATCTCCCCCTGGTAAGTTCTTTTTCAGTCTGGCTCAACGAAAGCTAATAATAGCCATCCAAATATGAGATTGAGGGCAAACCATATTATTTTGGAACTTTACCTTATTTTTATATTTTAAGTTTGTCCTCTAATAAAAAAATCAATTTAATCTTCTATGTCACTTTTATTTTTAATTTAGCCACCTAATAAAGCAAACCATCAATTTAGTCTCCTATTTTTCTAATATTATTTTAAAATTTCACCATTTTATCATGACAATATTAGTTAATTTATATCGAAATATACCTAACCTGTTCAATAATCATTTCTCATTGTCAAAATATGTATTTTCTCACGTGAAGATAATATTTGACAGTCTTCTATTAAATACAATTAAAAATGTATGATAGAAGAATAAAGTTAACAAAAATTAGAAATACAAATGATTAAGTTGATATTTTATTTTATTATATGACTAAATTAATATATATATATATATATGTATGTATATATATATATGTATGTATATATATATATGTATGTATGTATGTATGTATGTATGTATGGATATAGAAGATATAGTATTGTTTTAATTTATTAGAGAGCCAAATTAAAACCTAAAATAAGATAAAATATTATTGAAAAATGTTTCCTTTTCTTTTTGTTGACTATAAATATAAGAGAAATAAGGGAGAGAAGTTGAAGAAAAATACATATTTTCTCTTCTTTAGTTTAGCAAAACAAGTGAAAGGGGAGAAGAATAATGGTATGAAAGTTTAGGACAAGAGTTACTTTGGTTTTAATGCCAAAATTATCCTTTAACTTTTGTATTTTTAAACTACATTTTCTTTTTATTGTATGTAATTAGAAAATCCACATCTATCTATTTCTCCTCTCCTTTTTTTAATTTTCTCATACTAAACAATATACAAATATAATATATTTCTTGTATCTTTCTTTCACTTTCTTCTCTTTCTCACCCCTAAGGGTGGAAACAAGTCAAGTTAGGTTCGCCTTAACCATGCAAAGGTTATATATCATATAGAAAGATGAGTTTGACCTATTAACATTTAAAAAAAATTCAAAGTTTAGGTCTGCCATTTTTAAAAGCTTGATCTGACCTATTAGTCTACTTAATGAGCTATTATACTATATAGTCATGAAATAGGTGACCATTTATACATTTAAATGAGTTAATAGGTCTATTTTCAGCTGTGTCCATATATATTTAATAATTAAATTATATTTTATATTTAAATTACATATATATTAATATTATTTATATTAAAATAATATAATATTAACATTGTTATATACTATATAACTAAATAGACCGTCTTGTTAGGCTTAATATATGTTTTACAGAGCCTAAGGGCCTAAAATCTGATACTAAATAAACTTTTTAAAAATCACGAATTTGACATGTTCAATAAAAAACCTGATCTGACCTAACCTATTATAAGGTAGATAATAGGTTCTTGATAGACGAGTTGACCTATTTTCACCCTTAATCACATATATATCTTCTCGTATAAAAAATATTTTTGAAAAATTGATAACATTAAAGGTATCATTAGGTTAAGGAATTCAATTAGTAAAACACTATAACATCTCTGATACATGGTGTACCAGATTGGACTAAATCAGTCTATTTGATGGGCCGGACAGAAAATGAAGCCCATAAGAAATCAGGCCGATATGTCCGAAGCCCTAGGCTGTAAATGAAACTGGGCCCAAAAGTGTAACCCTAACCAGATGCCTTCTATTTATTCAGCGTAATCTTTCGTTCTCCCTGACCTAATATCTATCAGCTGAAGTTCATTTTCATTTCATCTTCTTCATTTCGTTATTCTTTTTTATTTTCTTATTCATTTCGTTCTTGATAGCTTTGTTTTTGTTTTTATGAAATTGTATTAATGGAGGTGATGATGCTTTGAACTACCTATTTTATGAGGGAATAAATAACATTCCCTTGTGATTACAAAACTACCAATGGATCCTTCTGAGCCTCACATTACACACTTTTTTGCTGAATTATTTAAATGTTATCTATTTTGGTTAGATGTGTGTTATTTGTGGTTATTATAAGAATAGAATTGAAATGAAGAAGCCATGGAGGTGATGATATCCTTTTCCGAATTATATGAATGTGGACTTATTATAGACTACAATTATCTGATCTATGGCTCACCTATTTTTTTTAAATATTTTTTCCGAGTGATTCAGGAATTATGAATCGCTTACTTTTTTTTAAATATTTGTTTGAGATTTTTCTTTGTTGTTTTCATCTATTAAATTTAGTTTCAATACGTCTGAGATTTCACAAGTTTTCTACGTTTTGCACTCTAACTTTTGGGGTTTTCGAATTTAATTACTAATGAGATGGTTTTGCGGTCTCAAATATATTTTGATTAATAATTCAACTATTACAAGTATATCCAGCTATCAATTTTAGGGATATACTAAATAAAAATGTTAGATGGTTAATTGTGTCAGATCATCTTGAATGATTGTTATAAATTATTAGATTATCTTAAATAATTTGTTAGTTATAATTGCAAATTTTGTTCCATTACATACCCGTTGCCAATACATTGGAAAGATCTATTGTGGATTTTTGTGATATATCATCTTACCTCGTTCATTGTTGTTATATATGTCCAATGGAGCTTAACGTTGTTTTCTACTGTTTAGTATTGCGTCTTGGGTGAAATATCATTATCAGACAATCCAAAAATGCATATTCATAAGTCTCATAAGCTATTAAGGTTGTAAATTATCATAACATACGAATAAACAAATCGAATTATCTAATTAAATTGATGAGATTTAACATTGTCTCCCTAACCTTTTACCTCAAATGAACACTCCATTTATTACAAGAGAATTGAGAATCGGGAAAAGTCAGTTAAAAGTTAACTGTTCTGAATTTAAGATTCAGCCCGAATATAAATGTGGACACTTGTGGGTAAATGCACAGACCTGTAGTCTGTGAAATCAGACAGGCTCGGTAATGGTGCTAATTGAAAATTAATTCGTTCTCCCTCTTGACTCTTCAAAAAGTTATTAGTATTGACAAAATAAATTTCACAAGACACCCATATAATAAATTAGTACATGACTTAAATTTCCCGGTAATATAAATGTTTAGATAACTTAAATTGCATGCTAATATAGATGTGTCATTCCCATCTTTTCCAATTATTAGTCAAAAAAATGTTTAATTATTAAACATATTTTTCAACAAATTTATAAAGTGAGAATAATTTTCTTTTTTGGGACAATAAATATTTTCCTATATTCTATTTTTGTTGGTTTTCTATAAGCTATAAAAGTAGGTTCCCACTAAATTCACTAATAGAAAAAGATATATACTAACAGTATTAGACTTTCAGTGCATTATTAACCATATTTTAGGATTATTATGTAGAGTAGAAGGTATGGCCGTATGGGGTCAACAACAATTAGGGATGGAGTGTGTTGAGCAGTTGGGCCGCATGTTCATATTTTATGATTTTAGTCTATTATGGTGAACTTGAATGAGGTCATTATTTATTAAAAAAAAACAGAAACAGGGCTATTATTCTGTAAGTACTATAGTTTCTATAGATTTTGATTAGTAAACAGAAACAGTATTAAACTGAAATGTTTTTTAATTTGTTATAATTGGATTGTAGCCTGATATTAAAGCAATGAAGAAGCGCATTGAAGATCTCATAAGTGGGGACTATCTGGCTCAAAGGAAGCAACTAATGTATAGTAGCCAGTGTCAGTGCTGACTATTTTGGAATTAGATCGGGTAATATAGCTTAATTTCTGAAGATTACACATTACTGTAAATACTGAGTAGTGAGTAGTAAATACTGGAACTGGAAATATTGAAATTTGGCTTACTCTTGAACCCTGTCAACAAAGTAATTTGATATTTGAAAAGATTAATGTTTATGTTCCTTAACGTTTGGGACCAATTTGATATAAACAAAAGTTATTGTGTAAAGCTGAACACATCAATTAAGATAAGGGATAAAATAACTAATTTTATCAAAATTATAGATGTACAAATAAATTTATTCTTTATATAGTATTTAGAGGGTTCAGTTGACCCAAAACTTATATCCAAGCTAAAGAGACTTTAGTATTACAAGTTGAGTAGTATCTCCAAATTGTTCCTCAATATTATGACATTTGATGAATTTTACACGAGTAATATGATTGATTGAAGTGGAAAGTTACCCGAGTTGAATAAGTTATAGAGAAATGGAGTAATTTGATTAACTCGTCAACTCAACGCTTTACATCCCTTGTTTTTTTCATTACTTGTATCTCACGTATGTTTAAAACTTGAAATTAGTGATAACATTAGCAGATTCAAAATGGTGCTTTCAAACAAAGACTAAAATGAGCTTTGCTTAATTTTACTAAAGCATAGAAGTTAAAGAATATAGCTCTGTACATTAAAAATCAGAACAGGTAAGGTGGTCAGGTCAAAATTTAATACTCAATGACCAAAAGGACCGGTAAAAAATATATTGAGAAAAATGTATATCATGTATTAACTATTGATTGTTTAGGGGATGAAGATATCTAGATAACTCAGAGTTGGCCAGCAAAACAGCAGTCACATCTGAAATTTGCCTCAGGTGCTCATCCTACAAATTTTAAGGTAGAACCCAATAAATCAGACACAGAAAAAACAATGCTGAGTGCTAATGAAGAATGTAAAGCCACTCTACTGCTAGATGACATGTTCAAAAATTTAACCATTAAAGTACCAAATTATTCATGCAACCTTACCTATGTTGTTGTGCTAAACAAGCCTGACAAAGATCCTTGTTATAAACGTAGTAAAACTTAAGGATATTATCCTAACTTTCAATTTTAAGATACATCAAAACAGGGAAACTAATACAATACTTCAAAACAGTAATCGATAGAATGCCAGTGATCAAGACAACATACCTGTCAGATTCTGCATAAGGCAGGGACGGCTAGAGGATGCCTTGCACTCAACTCATAAATTTCTGTTGTAAATCCCCCTTTTTTATTGTTTTATGTTCATTCTCTATCAATAACCAAGAATGTAAACAAAATAGTGCCTCGCGTATTTACAAGAAAGGCTTAACTTTAATCTGACTCCCTTCAAATCTTCCTTCTATAGAGGGGAGTAAACCAATAGGAGACAGCACAGTGAGAATGCAAACTGAAACTTCCATTTCAGTGAGAACGGCAAACATGTACATAAAAAATACTAGCTTCACATGCTTTTAACAGTGCCTCTAGGTTCAAGATAGTAAACCTTGTTCTTTATAAAAAGGTTAGGCTATCTTTTTATCTCAGTAAAGCATAAAAAATAACCATGAAAATAAGCTCTTCAAAGGTTAGAATCATCTGGTAACCAAGTGGATCCTTCAACGAGCAATGGTCTCCATAGCAAGTCGTACCAAACGTAGTAACCCCTTCACATCATGAAAGCTAAAATCGAGAGCCTGCTTGATGGAGGAGATACCATCTGCATTCTTGCCTTCGCTTTGGCTTGAATTTGCAGCAGCAAAAGCAAGGCGTGATTTCCTTGAAGCTTCCATGGCAATATTCACATCCTGAGCCTGCAATTGTCACATGTCATTTATGGCAACAAAAAATAGGCATTACAAAAAAATATAGGGCTGCAGTTGTTAGTATGTAAAGTTAATTATTATAGGACTGTAATTATTTGCAGGACCCTATAATTTTAGAAGGAACCTGGTTTCAAACAACATAGACTGTCAACGAGTGAAACATTATGACATTACTGACCTAAGTTCACAACATGGTGCTTCGGAACTTGCATGACCAAAAGTAGAAGTACTTCCTACTACTAAATCTAATGGATTAAAATGAAAATAAAACAAGTAAAAGACATTCTAAGGCCACCACTCTTATCTTGTTCTAAAATGAAGGAAAATAAAACAAATTAGATTCTTTCATATTAATTTAAAGTTGAATGAAATTAAAACCAAAGTTTCTTTTTATTTTTTAAATATTAATTATTATTTTTGATTATTTTCTATTCCTGATAATATAGAATTATATAATTATATAAAATATAAATAATAAAATTTGTCCATAGAATTTCAAATTTTTCAGTGAAATACAAGTTCACATTTTCTGCACCAGTTTCTAACAAGTTTCTAGGCTGTCCCTGTGCCCCTGGGAGGGTGGGTGGCCAGGGTCATTATTCGACGATCTAGACACTTACATAATTGAGCAACCGCACAATATTGGGACGATTTTGAGCAGCAATAAAATGGGTTCCAGCAGTCTGAGGCGAACTGATACTCTTGGACAAAACGACCTTGTCTGCTGTTGTAGAGTTGTTAACATTGTCAACACCAGAGGCAGATGATGGAGGAGACTCACCTAAGAAATATAACAAGGTTCCCACAATAAAAGAAGAAGAAAAATATCAGAGGTGCATCTACTCCCATTTCATTACCACCATAATCTCAAAATTAATAGTGCTGCTGAGAAAGAGAAACAATGGTTAAATGATAAAATGAAAAACTGTCACACTTAGTAGCAATCATCAAATCAGCCATATCTAAATTTTCTTATTCGTACTCTTCCATTGATACATTCATTCACGCACCTACTAATGAGACATGTAATTATAATTCTGCCATGTTTGATATTTATAGCCTGATTGGAAACATTCAGGTAGTCTATAACAGCACGAGATAATATTTTCCAACAAATAAATAAGAATATTTTTCACTGATGAAGCTAAATTTCAGTTTGTAATTATCAGCTGGAAAAAGTATCGAGAGAATGTCAAGCACAAATTTACAAGGTGAGCACTCCAGTGAGAGAGAAATTATTGCATTATGCAAAGAATGAAAATCTAGTGACAAAGTTCATTACCAAGAGGAACCAATTGCAAAGCTGTCTGCAACTCATGTCGATCTTTGCTGACACTAGTGTTTGCGGAATATATTACCCTCATATATGCCACCTCCACGCATTTGTAAGCCAGAGCAGCAGCAGCCATGTCTTTTGATTTCTCAAATTCACGAGCACAAAACCTAACAAATAGAAAATATCAAGAAGGCACTAAAGAAAGACAAACATCAAACAATGGAATCCCATAAATATAACACAGTTCAACCACAGATCACCTAAGCCCAACAAGTTTGATGTAACTACATCA